ATAACACCCAGATTTCTTTCCGGTGAGGTCACCTCCTGGCTGTGGCCATTCCCAGGGGGTACTCACAGTATTTGTTCTAGGTAAATTCCTCCATGCTCCTTCACTGCTGGAAAGCCACACTCAGTGCCCCAAGCAAATCCCAGGCTCTTCATGGAGCATCCCCGTGTCGGGTGCTGGGCAGTTCCTCTAGGATGGAAGTGCATCATGGGCCCAGCCTGCTGCCCTCTCCCGTGGGGAGCAGCTGGGGAGCCAGGCCCCATCTCTTCCCCTCACCCTCGGGAGCTACATGGGCTCTGGGCATCTATGGGTGGCACAAGGAAGTTTTATGGGGCTGGAGGGTGGTGTTGCCCCATAGGTATGATCATCAGCTATCTGCTCTGCACCTCGCTCAGGTTACTGTCTCTCATCCAGGCCATGCAGCACAGAGCAGCTGTTCTGCACTGCAGAGCACATCCCTGTCCCACAGGTGTCCTGGGAAGGAGCTGTCCCCAGCCTTGGAATAACCACAGGTTCCCTGAGTGCCTCACAGCTCTTCTCCAGTGCAGGCCAGGAGGGTGGACAGAGGTCTTTGTGCCCACTGGGGGCTGGGACCGATGCAAAGCCCTGTGCTGGGAGCAGTGGGGTGATGGGGGCAGTGGGGTGATGGGGGCAGTGGGGTGATGGGAGCAGTGGGGTGATGGGAGCAGTGGGGTGATGGGGGCAGTGGGGTCCCAGCCATCAGGCAGCAAATGATCAGACTTGGTAACAATCCCCATTTACCACTCACCTGTGCCACGGTGCATCCACGCTGCTCTGCCTCCAGCAGGGGCTGAACCAAGCCCTTCACCTGGGTGTGTGTCTGGCTGGACACAGCTGTGTCTCCCTGCTGGCATCTGTTTGATGCCAGCAGGGAGGAGAAGAGAAGAGGGAGAAGACACTGCTGTGGAATCCTGTGGACCTGGGATGGAGACCACCTGAACCAGACAGGTCTCAGGTACCTCTGGGCGGAGCAAGGCAGTGGGAAAGAAGCCAAGCTGAGCCTGTGCTTCATGGACTGTACTCTGTCCACAAAACCCCAGCAAGACACTGAGGCTCCTCAGGGACTGGTAGTCTTTCCCAGTTTAAGTAAGGAGCACACCTCTTGTCCCCAGTGCCACCACTCAAGGGACCAGAGGGGCTCCCAAGGAGATCAGTGAGGATTTTTAATTATGTGAAACAATGCATGTTGCAGTTTTTGATCTACATCATATGCAAACAACTTCAGGCAGCAGCTTCCAGGCAAATCCATCCCAAGGGACAAGCAGCATGGAAAAAACCACCTGAGGAGCTGAGGTGTGGCACATACAGACACCAGAGGTGTGTTTGTGTGGGTGTTTGGCAGCACCTCCCAGTCTGCTTCACTGGGGCTGGGTGGGTGTCTGGGCACATCCCTGGGGTCCTGGAGTGGGTGCTCCAAGGGCTCTCAGCAGGATGGGGGAGGCTGGGACAGGGTGGCTTGGGAAAGGAGAATGAGCAGCTTCTGGTCATTCATAAAGACCCTGAGATTATCTCAGTTGGTCAGAGCATGGTGCCAGTAACAGCCAGGTGAGGTCTTGACCCTGTATGGGCCATTCACTTCAGAGCTGGACTGGATGATCCTTTTGGGTCTCTTTCAGCTCAGCATATTCTGTCATTCATTTTCCTGTTTTCTGCTGTTTGGCACAGAGCCTGTGTTGAAGGATTGTCTCTGTACACTGCACATGTATTTCTTCATTAACTGCTCTTCCCAGCCCCAGCTAACGAGCACCCAGCTCACAGTGTGGCAGCAAGCCCTGTGGCTCACTCAGCGTGTGGCCTTCAGGCACCTGGGAGCTGCAAGGACTGCTGACCCATAGCCCCAGGATATGGCTGGGAAATGCTTCTGCAGGTGCTCAGCAGTTACCTGGTGACTTCAGCATCACCAGGAGGAATGGCTGGGGCAGAGCTCTCTGGGCTTGGGGAAAACTCATGTCAAGGATGCCAGGAGCAGCACTTTGTGTGGGATGCAGCAAGGTCATCCTAGGGACTTGCAGGGAAACCAGAATGGGCAGCTGGGGCTGGAGGGCTGCCCTGGGACCCCCTTCTCATCAGTGGCAAATGCTGGAGATGTTCTTGGAGGGCTTGCAAAGATCCAAACATACTATTATTTCCTGATCTCTTATTTTTTCAGAAGTTTTGGGTAGCTGGACCAACCATATTTTTTAAATAAAGGGCAGGCAAATGGGGCTTGGAGCTAGGTGATCTTTAAGGGCCCTTGCAACTCAAACCATTCCATAATGAGCACCCTGCCTGCTTTGCATGCCATTTGTTGGGTGAAATGAAGCATGTGCATTACACACTGGCCCTGCACCTTGCCAGAGGCTCTCAGTGCTGCTCCCAAAACCTCCTGGATGAAGCAGAAGCCAGTGTGATCACCTTCCTATTTTCAGCAGTCACCCAAATTCAGAGTGCCTCCAGTTACGCGCCTGAGCAGCAGAGCCCGAGGCACCTGCTGGGGTGCACTCGTGCTGTGACACACAAAACCCAGCTAACTCCCCATTACCTGCGGGCAGGTGAGCTGCAGTCAGCTGCTTGCTCATCCTCTCCAGGCACAGCCACCTCAGGCCTTGCAGCTGAACTCAGCGTGACTTTCCCAGTGACCTGAGAGCCAGGGCCATCCAGCCAAAGCCAGGTCATGCCCTGTGTCCACCCATGCTAGCTCAGGATAGCGCAGGGAAGGCACTCTGCTTTCCTTTCCCTTACTCAGTGGTGGCAGACACCGCTGTCCCTGGGGACAGAGGGGTCCCTCCGGGCTCTCCCTGCTATCCCCACGCACAGACAGAAGACAAATGTGGATTTGTGAGCTGATGTGGAGCCCAGCTCAGCCCCACAGGGTTGTAGGCACACAAGGGCTGGGCCACCACGGCTTTGTGCCCACTGTGCCAGCAAGATGAAAATCATTTCCCGCTGCACATTGTCACACAGCAGAGCTGTCACCCACCCCAGAGCCCCCGGCCACAGCCCCTGGCTGGGCACAGCAGGACATGGCAGGACATGGCAGGACATGGCAGCCACTGCTGATGGCCTCAGGCTGGTGAGGAGCCCCTTCCTCTGCTTCTCCATCTGTGCAGCAGCTTTTCCAGCAGTAAATCACTGGGCTACACTCTGCCCTGGGAGGGAACTGCCACCCCCTTTTGGCAGTAGAAGACCAGGGGAGGGTGTGGCTGATACTGAAGCATTTCCCATCCCCGTGGGAATGGAGAGAGGGTCATCCCATTTAAACCTGTGCTTTAGGGTAAATGCCAGCACAAATGGGGCACTTCACCTTGGAACATGTTTCACCCTAACAAGACTCATTCTGCTGCATTTATTTATGCCCTCCTCTATGGCAGCAGGATTAAAGGTTAATTTCTGCAGCCCTGCTGCAGCCAGCAGGAGCCATGTTGCAATCTCCACGTGAAACCAGGACAAGTAGAAGCAGCAAAATGAACCTCCATGGGCAGCAGGAGCTCTTGGCTTCAGGCAGGGACCAGGTTGGGGGTCAAGTGTGGTTATGCTGTAACTTCTGGCTGTCTTCTGCAGATCGTCCCCCACTATGTCCAACAACTTCAGCTCTTGGGCATTAGCTGAAACTGCCGTGGCCAGTTCAAAATGCCCTCCATGGACACCCCAAATGAATGGATTTTCTGCTTAGGACTGCTCCAAGCTTCACAGGCTTCTGCTCCCCTCCGGCAAAGTGGGGTGGGAGCTCTGCAGGGTGGCAGCTCTCCTCCCAAAATGGTTTACGTTCTTCTGCAAGATACTTCAATTACAGAAGACTAAATAATGTTATTTGTGACCTCGTGTTGAATAAGACACAATTAAATTCTACCTCGTGTGAATTTACAATGGGGAATTCTCACCTGTGATGCCAGATGAGTCCTAACTGTTCCATGCATGACTCAGACACCCAAACTGCTCCATTAATGACTGTTTTAATAAATGTTCTATCTTTACACAGACAATATCCTGCCGTGTGACAAGCCTGGCACAATGTCAAACCAAACCTCGGTCCCATGTTCAGCCCATGCTGAGGATGAAGGCAAACCTGGTGATGCATCCTGAGGGGCTGTGACACTCCAGGGATGTTCCTGGTGTCGTTCTGAGCCTCCTCTGTCTCTCAGGTAATGGTTGGGTGGCACATCCAGGGCTTTCAGCCTCAGCCCCCTCATTCCTGTCCCACCAGAATTTCTCTTTGGATGAGGCCTCTGCAGCGCAGCAGTGAGAAGGAAACGTGTCTGGGAATCCTCAGGGCTCTGTCCCTTCCCTTCGGGAGGGGCCGGCACATCCCCCCGCAGCCTTCCTGTCCCCCCCGTCCTGGGGCCGCTGCCCGCGGGACCGGACTCTATCGCTTTCCTCTTTCCCAGTGGCGTCAGATCTTCATTTTCGTCCATCTCCCCCCTCCCGTTCCCGTCCAATCTCGGTGCCGGAGCTCCCCTCTTCCCCCGCACCCTCGGGGGTCTGAGCCCTTCTCCCCGACCCCAAAACTCCGGGGGTCTCCAGCCTTTCCCTTTTCGTCCCGCGTTCCTGGAGTCCCTCGCCCGGGACTCCGCCACCTCCTGGTTCCGTGGCACAGCGGAACCGGAGCGGAACGGGAACGGGAACGGGAACGGGAGAGGAACGGGAACGGGAACGGGAACGGGAGCGGGAACGGGAACGGGAGCGGGAGCGGGAACGGGAGCGGGAACGGGAACGGGAGCGGGAACGGGAGCGGAGCGGAGCGGCCCCGGCCCCTCCCGGCCCCCCCCAGACCCCGCTCCCCACCCGGGACCCCCGGCCCGGGCCCCGCCCTCCCTGCGCCCGCTCCCATTGGCTGCGGCTGCGGTGGGCGGGGCATCGCTGTGACGTCACGATCAGCTGTCGGAAGGTGCCGATTTGTGCGGGGGAGCGGCGGGCGCTCGGCAGAACCGCGGGGTCCGCACCGGCACCGGCACAGGCACAGGCACCGGCACCGGCACCGGTACCACTGCCGCCACGGCCACCGGCACCGGCACCGGCACCGGTATCAGCACCTCCGCGGCCACCGGCACCGGCACTACCTCAGCGCCTTCTGCCGCCCGGGACACGCAGGGCCGGTGAGTCCTGCGGGACACGGCCGGGGCCGCGCGGTTGGGCTCGGTGGGCTCGCAGGGCCCGGGCGGGGGGGTCCGGCGGGGGCGGCCCGGGACCCCTCGGCTCCGGCCCCCCCGCGCCCGTTGTTTGTTTCTTCATCACCGGATTAAGATTGGCGGTCGTTCCGCGCTCCCATTGGCTGCGCTCTGGTGACGTCGCCTGATTTGCATATGACATTGAGACGTCACAGCGCTGCCCTGTCCCGCCGTGACCCCCGGGCCGGGGGCGGTGGCGAGCGCGGCACCGGGGCCGTGCTGCCCCCGGGTCCCGCCGTGCTTCCCCCCCGGGCCCCGCCGTGCTTCCCCCCCCGCTCCCGC